TCTCACCGGCTGACGTGCAGGAGCGTCCGCTCTTTACCGGTCCGGAGCTCCTAGGGTCCGAGCGGTGAACACCGCAGTCCCCTCCCTTGGGAGGGCGGACAGCTAGCTCGTCGCAGCCTTTGGAGGGCGAGCGTTTTCCTAGCCCGCAGCTCCGATCGAGACGATCACAAGGCTACAGTTAGCGATGAGCTAGAATCTTAATTTTCAATAAGCTAGCTTGGCTTCTACTCAAAAAGTAGTAACCTGCGCAGCGAGAAGATGAAAAAGGACTGAACTCGTTGACAACACCGGAACTTATGCCTTCCGAGGTCACACGTGACTTTGTTGATATAAATATTCGACCTACGCATGCGCGAGACGGAAGATATCCAGTGCTAAAGCACCGCCTCTGGCGGTCAGTAAGGATGAAATAGAACTGTATATTATAGTGTCCGTCCAAAAAATATGTTGTACTTATAGTGAAAACTAACCTTGAATGATGGGTTAGTAGACTAAAAGCTTTAGGAATCCAAAGTACAACATATAATAAGTACCCTGTATCAAGATTGATGCAAAACAAGTGATATTTGACCTTTTTAGACAGATCGAAGGGAAATCGTCCCGCACACACTCATGTTAATAAAAAAAAGTGTTGTCTTCGCGCATTCAATCTTGCTACAGAGCGTAGGAATGGCCTGCTCTACTATTTTAAAACAGAATTGCAGTTTTATTGCTTATAGATTATCAGAACATTTCAAAGGGGACACAGTCACATTGGATATTAACCTATGGATTAACTACATAATCGTTGTTAACATTTTAATGCCATTGAAGACCAGTTTTGACCAGACAAAACCAAGGTAAGCCATGTTAGCGTTGTAGGCTACCTAGCGCCACATGTTTTGATGTACATTTTTGTTGATAACGTCGCGAGTTTGTATCTTTCAGTGTTGAGGTTGGCACTGTTAGATTCTGTGTCTTTACGATCATAAACGATGTGTTGGATGTGCAGCTAGGATAAGTAATAAGGGAGCTAGGCGTGATTTTCGGTGCAGTAATAGGTTAGCATTTTTCGCTCGGGGCTAATTCAGAGGCTCACTGTTAGCATTGTGTGTTTTTTTTGGAAAAAAAAATGAATAAGATCAGTTAAATGAGTTTTTCCCGTTATATGGATATACAATATTCATAGTTTATTAAATATTAAGGTTCCTTAGACGTTGTTTCCTGCAAATGACGCGATTTCGGCCCCGGAACCGGGTCCGTGGGGCTTAAGAGGTTAATTAACATTGTATGAAAACGGCCTTGCCGATCTCAACGAGACATTATGGGAAAAAGTGGAATTGTGGAGAGAGATGACTCTTACTCTGGGATAAATACAATCGTTTTTACTGAATGCATTTTACACACACATATCACTGTAGAACTAGAGTTACACTACGTAACCCACTGTTCTTCTGCGGAGGTCCCTGAACACACCGCGGCCACTCTCACGGGGGCCGCGCCTCATAATGGGCGTCCAATTAATATTGTATGAAAACGGCCTTGCCGATCTCAATGAGACATTATGGGAAAATGTGGAATTGTGGAGAGATATGACTCCCAGGATGATAGATTTGCCTCTCTATTGCCCATGAATGGAGGAGGGACGCTGCAAAGCTGGAGTGAGTAACCCAGTCTCAGTGTCCTGCCCCTCTACTCTGTCAGTACACAGCTGGGATTCCATTCCCCACAAAACTGTGTTCAGGGGACATGCCAGCAGCTGTGGAGCCAAAGCTAAGAAGCTGTAGTATTCTCTGGTGGCCTACTCCGCTGCCAAACCTTCCATAAAAGGGAGTTTTGGCATTGGGGCTGACACAGAAAAGGGGCTCTGTCCTAATGCCGTCTCTTTGAAACGGACATTATGGTGAAAAGTGGAAATGTGTAGAGAGATGACTCACTCTGGAATAAATGCAATCGTTTTCACTGAATGCATTTCTCACACACACAGTGCTTTGACAGCACTTCGGTTTATTCCACTCACGTGCACACGCGCCCACCTGCTGGCTCCTATACTAGAGTTTACAGAGGGGGCGGGGAGTGTGGGACAGTGTTATTTCCTCTGGGGATGAGCAAGAAGCAGCCACGCTGCGACTACTCCTCACCCACGTGACCAAGAAGATCGACCCAAAGAGCCCTTCCGTAAACACGGGGGCTCCCGGCCCGGGAGATCAACACTGTCCTTTTGGAAAGTGCCACGCGGCGTGACCCCCCCACCGGGATATCACACGGCAGGCAACGGCGGCGGCCACACCGCCGATCAAGCTACAAATAATCGCTTTGATCTGCTGAGGTGGGGGCATCTCCAGCAATGAGCGAGATGCCCAACACACCCGTGTTTATTTGTAGTCGCCCTGTCACGCGGCAAAGCTCTTTTCAGCTCTCTGCCCAGCCTTCTATGAGGTGTGATTTGTGCCAATGAACGAACTCACTGAGCTCACTTACGGCCCGTCCACACAGCGGGGTGCGTTGACGCTTGCCGGCGGGCGTGTCTGACACTCGACCAACAACCAATCACATGAATCTCCCACCCCAGACACACAAGCACACGGTTTGATTGGCTAGAGCTTGTACTGGCATATGATTCGATTGGCTGACGCCTCCGTCAAGGCGTCAAAAGTTGAACATTGCTCAACTTTTGAAGCCAGCAACGCCAGCAACGCTCCACGTCGCTTCCCAAAATGCAGTTCGGCTAAAAGTGACGTCACCCCATTCAAAGTGAATGGGCAGAAGCGTTGGAAGCTTCAACGCACGCCGCTGTGTGGACGGGCCGTAACATGTCGAGAGGAGATTGTAATGTCCCGTTTACTAAAATATGTATTGTTTTATGATGTTTAGTTGACAAAATAGTCACTGTGCTACATTTTGCTGCACTCAAGCATACATCTGAAGCAACCTGATCTCACCAGAATGCGTGACTCCACCACGACTCCTTAACACCGCATTGCGTGGTAGAGTCACGCATTCTGCTACATTTACGTGTCGGCACCACGCAAAAAACCCCAATGCAAAGTGAATGAGGCTCTTTTGTCGTGGTGCACACACGCATTTCTACAACGTCCCGCAGTGAGCTTTTATTCTATAAAACGTTTTTAAAATCTACTATATAGCTTGTAGTAACTCACGGGAGACTTCTTTTATTTTATTTGTATTCAAGCTATAAAGTAGATTTTAAAAATGTTTTATAGAATAAAAGCTCACTGCGGGACGTTGTAGAAATGCGTGTGTGCACCACGACAAAGGAGCCTCATTCACTTTACAATGGGGTTTTTTGCGTGGTGCCGACACGTAAATGGAGCAGAATGCGTGATTCCACCACGCAATGCGGTGTTAAGGAGTCGTGGTGGAGTCACGCATTCTGGTGAGATCAGGTTGATCTGAAGACAAGAGTTGTGTCCGCCTTTGGCCACAAGGGGGAGTATTGTATATTTATATTTTGTATAGATGTTGCAACTATACAGAGCTTTGGCAGTACTATATGTAACTGAGGTCATGCTAATAAAGCTATTGAATTGAGTATACCTTTAAGTGAGCGCTTCTGTCAGGAGGAAACAAAGGTTCACCAACACATTGCACTCTACTGCTGAGAAAGGCTGTGCAAAGACATCAAACAATGTGCTGCAATGTCTGTGTATTTTTGAAGAAAGTAATAACTCGCACTGAATCTTAATACATTACTTTATTTCATTATTTTCCCCCTTCATTTGAGAAACACTATCCAATGATTTATTATGTTTGTGGTACACACACACCATTACTGAATTAATTCTAAAACAAGAATAATCTACATACAAAAATAGGGTGCCCTGGCTCAAGGACGGACAAAACAAGGACACCACACATGATTATTTTCCAATTACAGTATATTTATTTAAAGAGAGTAACTAAATTATGATATCAGTTTAATCAGTAATGTGTGTTGTATGGGTGTGTGATGTGTCAGCAGGGCCGGACTGGGACCATAGGTCAGGCCGGGATCTATACACCCAGCCAGGCCACTACCAGTTTTTTTTGGGGGCGTTTTGCTGGATGTATCGTCAATATCTACAACGTTGCTGCCCTACTCAGTTGCAATTTCCCTTGTGCTGGACCCTGAATCTTGAATTGTCTTGTCAACCTCCTCAGCATCTGCTGGTACTGAATAAGAACCAGCATTGGGATGGATTCAACTCTGATCAATAACTATAATAACTTATTGAGAGAACATGAACATAGCTTGCGTATACTGTTGTCATTACATTTCCTTTGGTTTTGTTCAGTGTCAGTCATAGCCTATTGAAACAGTTTCCTCTCTACCTGCTAGTTCTGTCCACTGAGCTCTGCCTGCATCTCTCCCTCAGGGTCATCACCATCAGCATCATCTGATAGTGGAACTGAATAAGGAGAACATGTAATCATTAACAACTATTTATGAAATAACATTATTCAAGAACATATATTATGCAACACTTATATCACTAAGTTGACCCTGTATTTGCATGGCCTAATACCATAATGATTCTCTCCCCTTTAGACAACATAACCACCTCAAGTTATTCACTCATAGTATGAGGGGTTTGTAGCCCCACAGTTAGCTGCAGTCTAACGGTTATCTTACATATATTTGCCTTGAGTAACATTAAGGACATGTTTGGGTTTTGTGTTGCCTTATAGTCTCCAGTCACACAGGGCCTGCCACTAACTTAGCATTGGACTGAGAAACTGTTTTGTTGACAGTCGATGTGCACATCAGGATACAATATAGAAAGAAAAGTGGCTCATAATAGTGGCACTGACACTAGAAAAGTGGATCATATCACTCCGGTTCTGAGATCATTACACTGGCTTCCAGTCTGCCAAAGAATTGATTTTAAAATACTACTGCTAGTTTTTAAATCACTAAATGGTTTAGGACCGAGGTATATAGTGTTATGGAAATCTAAGACCCAACACACTGGAGAGTACAAGTCAGAGTGATCAAAAACAAATAAATGGTGAATCAGACAGAGTTGTCTTTCTGGTTATTTATTTGAAGCTTCAAATACATAGATACAATAAAAATAAAGACACAGGTTCCACAGAGTATATGATAGTCTGCAGGAGTGTGCGCAGATATAATAGGAAAGCAAAGCTTATATACAGCAAAGAGTGGGAAGTGCAGAAATCTGTCTTCACACGGTCTCATTGTTATTAGACACCTGTCCTTGAGATCAGAATAGGGAAGTTCTTGTGAGACTTTGTGTGAAGAGGAGTAGCCTCAACATAGTCAGCCAAATCAGCTCTGTGGCCTTGAAGCGCTTGGGAATAAACCCACAGTAGAGTAAAGGAAGAAAACAGCACATCTCAGGAAATGAGAAGCATTTGGTTTAAAACATATAAGGATATAATAAAAATGTCCACTACAATAGACGACCTACTCCATCACTATGAAGCATCCAGGAGTCTCAGGTCTTCTGGGTCGGGTCTGCTCTCTGTTCCGAGAATAACCACTAAACATGGAAAAGCAGCTTTTAGTTATTATGCCCCAACAATTTGGAACAAATGCACGTCCACCGAAACACTTCCTATTTTTAAAACTAAAAACGCACCTATTTGCCGCTGCTTTTAATTGAGCTGCCCATAATCACACTACAGTATGCCTTTTTAGTCATGTATTCTGTACCTGCTGTGTTTATTTATTTAATTTATTTCATTACCTTTGCTTATTATGCCTGTTTTTAAATGCCTTTTTAATAATTAATTTGTTCTTAAATTTATTTTGCTTTTAATCTGTAGAGCACTTTGAATCGCCACGTGCTGAAAAGTGCTATATAAATAAAATTGCCTTGCCTTGCCATAATGTTCGCTCACTTTTGAAATATGCCCATTCGCTAGTCTGGTTCTCACTGCGCCTCATACCGGTGCAACTTCACAAATATATGCCGCATTAATGGATTTGGCCTGCAGTCACCGCATCTGGGCTGAATTAAACACGTATTATTTTTAGTCCTGTGTGTTTATTAGGCCATGTCAGCAGGCCACACCATATTAGGCCAGCGTTGCGTTCACAAGACATACAAGCCACAAACTGGCAATCGAAACATGCTACAACCTGAGGGACAGTGAATGAGACACACAGACACACCCACACGCACCTTGAGGGAGGGAGGGACAGCTGATCGCTGTGCAGCAATCAGCTGTTCCCGAGCAGAGAGAGAGAGAGCTGCTAGACACAACTCTTAATCCCTGTACCAGATACTATACAATGCTAACGGAGGCGAGACGTACGTTATTCACACGCTTATCCACACATACGTTATTCACGCGCATATACACACGTACGTTATCAACACGCATATCTAAGATAGCACTTTCTAAGCTACGCCGCCGCCACGTGAGCGCGTACTTTGAGCGCACCTATGATACGTCGCCGTGACGGCTGACATCGTCGTGACGTCGCCTGTATTCTACGTCAACCCATTCAAAATTGATGGAGGCGTTGGCGTACGTTGACACGTCAGTGCTCCGCTCAGTTAGCTTAGTTATCCGTTCTTTGGCACAAGTCACACCTCATAGCCTGCTGCCCGCTGGGAGCAGCTGCGCTCCGCCGCCATGGTCATCACCTAGGGCGGTGGACCTCCATGGACCGGACCCGGAAGTGCCCGACAACGGCAAACTGAGCCATCCACCCCGCTGGAATGGCGAACGTGAATGGCACCGCCTCGGCCATATCCTGGTCCCCCAAACACTTGAAGCAGAGGTGGTGGAGATCGGCGCTCCGCTATTTAAGCCAGGGCACGAAGGACAGGCCCGGGTCTCTCCATGGAGGTATGATAACTATTTATTCTTCTTCTTCTTTTAAAAGTGTTACTTTCTCTGCAGTTGTTACTCGCTCGCTGAAGAGAAAAAGGATAGCGGGCGGAGGGCGTAGCCACCTTATATACTGTGGGCCTGCACGCGCATTCAGGTATGCTCGCCCCGATTGGCTGGCTACGTTTACGTAACTCAGTAGGTGAAAGCACGCACAGCATGATAGAAGAGGTTTCTCAATACTCAAATTTCCCCTCCTCGACTCCTCGACTGCTCGGTCCTCCGGTAGTGACCCGGAAATGAATTTCAGCGCGCCATTTTGAAGGACATCTAATTTCTCTAAATGCACTTTGAGGACCGAGCATCGAGCATCGAGGAGGCTCTCTGGAGGAGCTCTAACCGAGGAGACACTGATGCGTCCTCCACGGCTCCTCCGCGGATGCATTTCCGGGAACGGCGGGAGCAAAGCACACATGTAAGTGTTGATAATGATAATGATAATGTTCACCTCCAGGGCCTTCATCAGGAGGCACCTCCATCGCACCTTCAGTTTCCCGAAAGTGCGCTCGATTATGCTGCGTGCTTTGGCATGGCAGCCGTTGAATCGGCTCTGTACTCTCCCCTGCAGTGGCTCCCGATACGGGGTTACGATCACTATAGGGTGTACAATGCAGGGGTAGCCACCATCCCTCACAATGAAGTACCCTGGAGGAGGGTAAAGAGCCTCTCTATACAGGGCACTGTGTTTTAGGACAGGGGTGTCGTGGACTGAGCCCGGAAATCCAACGAATGTTTGGAGGAATTTCCCCATCCCATCCATGCAGGCTGTATGGATGGGATGGAAGAGCTTCCTATTCACATAATCCTGGGATGGAAGAGCTTCCTATTCACATAATCCTGGCCAGGGTCGGCTCTAGAACAAATCGAATGGGGGGGCAATCATTTACAAAGGGGGGGCACACACTGCCGTCAACAACCAACACACAAACACCAAAGCAACTTCAATAAACATGCTGTAAAGTCTATTGTCTTTCACACACATTGCAGGGTGTAGTGCTATTGTATAGCGCACCTATGACTTGTGCATACATGCACGGTTGTGGAACGACCACCAAAACAGAAACATATAAGGACATAGGCCACCATATAAAAAGGGTGCAAATGTATTTAGTATCCTATCCATGTGAACATGTTTTAGGTGGGTGTGGACCTAACCTCCTCTAGGAGGGTCTGGGGGATGATCCCCCGGGAAGATTATTTTAAAAATATTGAAGTTAAATGCATCAATCTGGTGCACTTTGAGAGCAACATTAGGAGATCTATGGATAGTCTACATCTCTCAGCATCCATATGAAACAGAACTGTACACAGATTTACTTTTTCTTTATGGATATTTTACTAATCACTCCCCTTTTAAACTGTATTCTTGTGTTACTGTCCTATAGTATTTCATACCCGTTTTTCATTTATTCTCTTATTCTTTAATAACTATAATGATCATATGGTATTCCTCGCAAATACTAAACTTACATAAATGGTGACCAAACCGTTGGAGACCCACTGAGATAACCTACACTAAAGTTAACTATCTAAACACTGAGAGAGTTCTTACCTCACTGAGCTGAGGTTATAAGATCCTCTCAGTCTGACAGGAGAGGACTCTCCTCTACCTTGGTGTAGAAACAGCTCTTTATATCCGTTAGCATAGCTAGCTAACCAGATGCTAACATCAACATTCCACGTTACCGCTTGCGCACTCACAAAATGCGCTCGTGCCACACACACACACACACACACACACAGAGCCGAGCTTGAATGAAACACAGAGACCCAGAAGTAGGCTACTTGTACTGTACTGTATATCATATTATTTCCGATGGCTTTACTGTATAATCAGTGTAACAGATGAACAGATCGCCACCGGGCTTTCATCTAAACACACAGCCACGTAATGATAACAAAACAAAGGTCGGGGGTCATTGGTCAAGCAACATACCAATCAGAGAGCAGCAGTGAGCACAGCTCAGGCTGTGTTTTATATTTGTATTCTTTATTTCTGACATTTCACACAAAAAAAACGTTAGTGGAAACGTTTTCACTTATATGATTTAAATTTTAAAAAACGACAAAGTGGCAAGGCTTGCCCACCCTGCGTTGGGGGGGCACAGTGACTCATTTGGGGAGGCATGGCCCGCGAATGACCCCCCATGACGCCGACCCTGATCCTGGCCACAGGGTCCGGATGGGGCCCTGATTCGTATGTGGCTCCCGTCTATTGTACCCACACACGTACGGAATGCCGGACTGTTGGCCAACTGCTGGAAGCCCTGCCCAACCTTCTCCAGCTCTGGATCCAGCAGGCAGCTTGATGAGGGAATGCCGGAGAGCAGCGATGTCCTCCACTCCCTGGTGGACCAGTCTGTGGACCATGGAGAGGGGTACCTGAAAGGCCCGGGACACCACACTGTAGGACAAACCGTGTGCCAGCCAATACAAGGTCGTCAAGATAGTCATGTGGTGTCCCCAGGCCTGTCTCCTCTCAGGTTCCAGACACCACATCAAGGCCTCCAAGGAGTTACGGCTGATCCTGTAATCCTTGAGCAGGCACCCATCACCCTTGAAGTACAGCTTCAGCAGGGGTACACTGCTGTTCAAATATCTGTAGATGGGAGAGTGTGGGTGCTGAACCTACAGGAAGAATAACATGTACAGAGGTCATACCTTTGTCCAGCAAACTAAAGTATTTTATCCCGCAATTTAAACTGCACATAAATATTCTCTCATAAGAAATTAAGCCATGGCTAAATCTGGTAGGCTACATTTGATGGTCTCAAGTGCTCGTGTTAACTAATGTGCATGGTCCCTTCTTGAATAAATACACGTACATAATAAAAAACACAACTTTCTCTCTGACAAACATGCTTTTTCTCTAACTCCAAGGCCTATGTGTCATGATTTTCTTGCTAGTAGTTGGTCATTTTTGTATTCAAATCAAACAAGCCAGCTATTTTTCAAATTTTTTTAAACAAACACTCATAAATACCTCAAGATGAAGCAGGATGGCATTGCGCATTCTCGCTTTCCAGCGCTGGGAACGGCGTCTTTCCTCACGGGATTTGGTTTTCTGCAGCTGGTTCCACTGCCATAAGGCACACAGTATTGCAGTCTTCATAGCCTATATCTCAATATCTCCGTCGTGGTTGAGATATAAATCAGAGGTGTGCCTGGACCTTATATATAGCCTGTCAGGTCCATCGTGATTCGGTAATTGGTTAAAAATTCGGTACAGGTGCTTTGTCAAAGAAATGTGACTTGATGACCTATCATGTCATTAAGCCTACTAGTTTAAAAAGGTAAACATACTGTGTATAGTGTATATACAGTCATTGGGTTTTTTAGGCTTTTGTGTGTGTGCATGTGTGAATATGTCAAACGTATATAAGCCTAATGTATATGTCTCCCTTTATTTGTATACTTGTCATACTAATGTTTAAGTGCGGCACAATACAGAAGAGATGCTAGGCCTATGTGTTGAAAATATTCCTACATTCTTGTCATACTATGCCTTGTTGCAAATTGAATTACATACACATATGTGGGGGAACAATGTTCAGCTGATCTAACAGAGATTATAAAATACAGCGCTATGACAAAACACTCGACAGCTGATGCAGCTGTTGCCACGTCATAATTAACGGACGTCGCTTTAAAATGACCGCTCAGAGGAGAAGAGTTCTCATTTCTCTAACCGCCTGCTGCTTCCCCTCCTCTCTCCTCGGTTCCCCTCCTCAGTCCTCCGCTCGCATCTCCTGTGGGCGGCACCAAGTCTTGAGGATAGGAGTCGAGGAGGGGAAATTTGAGTATTGAGAAACCTCTAGAGAGTAGTACCCATAGAGGGCGGAGCCTGTGTGAAATATAACCAACCTCCACTCCCAGCTCCCCTTTTCTAATAAACAAATGTTACTTTCACCAGCTGATTCCGAGTCTGATTCTGGGTCCCCTCCAGTACATGTGACACCGACAGTGACTTGTACTAGCTGCTGGTCGCATTTAAAAAATACTTCTGATAAATCGGAACGATAAAGCACGTTACCCTTCTCTAAAATAATAACATTCTGGCAACATAACAAAATCTAACTTGCAGCTGAAAGCGTTTTAAGAATAGTAGGGCATAATGTTCTAACAATGTTATCAAAAACATATAAAAAAGGTTATTACCAAGCATTTTAAGAATGTTTTTAGAGAACGTTATCCTACCTTTCAGAAGAACATTCTGGCAACCAAAATAAAACTTCCCGCTGAAAACATTCCTAGAACAGTGAATGGTAACATTCTCAGAATGTTTTTAGAACCAAAGATTTCTAGCTGGGATGGCCTTCTCCAATTCAAGGTATTACACTGCCTTTCATACTTTCTGGACATGTCCAAATCTTCATAATTATTGGACATCTATATTTGATACGTTTTCTAAGATTTTTAAAGTAAAATGTACTCCCTTCTCCTCTTATGCCCCTTTCACACCAAGGCGTTTTCAGCTCCGGCTCGGAGCTGGAGCTGAAAAGTACCGTTTTTTCCTGTTCACACCGCAGAGGCGCCGCCTCTTAGCTCCGGAATCCGGTTCACTTCCAGCTCCAAAAAATGGTCGGTCTAGAGGTAGAAGTAGATGCTGAAGATCACAAAGAAGTCTTGCATTTCGCATGTGATGTTTGTAAAGTTCCAAGTAAAGTCGTCCTTTGTAAAGTCGTCGGATGCCTTCCATTTCGTTGCGTAAGAGGATAACCAAAGCGAACAGCGCTTCAATACAATCGGCCATTGTTGTTGTTGTCAATGTGAGGGATTTCCGCGCAGTTTGGATTTTATGAAGCAGGCACGTAAACGGTGACGTCATGACGCAGCAGTGGCAGCTCTGG